AAGGAGGGGTCTCTATGAGTCAGGTCTGATTCCACGGCACATAACAACAACAACAAACAAGGATATCCTTTTCCAGGGACTGGTCCCTTCTGACAACACAACCAAAGTACAAGAGATGAAGTCTGGCCATTCTCCCTTCTAAGGAGCATTCTGGTCATACGTCCTCCAAGACAGATGTGAATACAAACCGAGTTTTCTGAATTCTATCCAGATAGTTTTTTGCTGAAGACTCAGCTTGAGGCTGTTGTCTCTGTTGGAAAGGGAGAGGATATTATCAAATGTTAAATCAAATATCAAATGTTAGAGGATATTAAAAAATTCACCTTCTTGCTCTAAGAGACTTTTTCCTTAATGTTACCAGAATGAATGGAAGAGAATTCTTTATGGCAATGTTCACACACCACTGAAAATCAGATGCACTCACCATTCTCAGCCTTCTGCTCACACTGTGGGAAACAAATTTTCCTCCACTTTTCACCTGGCACTAGACTAGGTGCCAGATTGAAAAGTCAGGAAAACAGCTCCTGACCCAAGCTCTGCCACTCTCTGTTGCCTTGGGAAGAACGTGTGCCCTTTCAAGAGTACGAGATGATCTCTTCCAGCTCTGATTCTCTTTCATCTCAAGACATTCTCCAACATGGGAAGAACCCAATTCACCATGCTGTTTTGCCAGCTGAAGCAGCAATTCCCTTGCGGGAAGTAACCATTTTTCCGCTTCAGTGAGAAACTGGGCCACAGAACAAGAAGAAATTTGCCTGATTCTACGACCTTAATAAAGACTCTTTCAGGAATGCCTGAGCTATCCTGGGAGAGTGGATTATGGACCCTTGTCCTATTTTTCTGCCAAGATTAACTTCCCTTCAGGGTTTGACTTCTCAGAGTTTCAAATGAAGCATGGGATAGTGAAAAGAATATGAGCTTGGGACAATACCAATCAGACCTTGAGAAACGTTAAAAATGAAAGATGACTTTTTCTTTTATAATTGAGAAGAGAAGATGGAAGGGAGTGATTCCCTGATAAGTAAATACTTCTGGTACTGATTTTACACTGTGATAGGAGACAGGGACTAAAGGTTACTAGTGTGGTCAAGGGGTGGGTCTCTCCTAAAAAAGGGAACTTGTCCACAAATATCCTGGTGTGAGACTGTTCCTGATGAAAAGGCTGATTTGGGAGGCAGTCTTGGCACACATGGGAGGTAGGGGGTCATCAGGAAGGAACTCCTCTCTGTTAGTGAGCCCCATATTCTTGGGCCAGGACTCAGAAAGCCTCAGGTGTACCAGAAGATAATCTCTGTTAAAGTGAGGCAGGAACACAGCTTGTGAGGATGGACCTGGCCGTGGACTCAGACAAAGCTGATGGTCAATTATGTTATTCTTCCTTCTGGCAGTTTAAGCTTCTGTAAAGTGTTTTTATGGGTTTTAAAAAAAAGATTCTGGGCTTTGGAAGCAGAGAGGCCATGATGCAAATCCTATATCTGACACACTCTACCTGTGCGATAATGGGTAATTTCCTTAACTTTTCTGAATCTCAGGTTGTTTATATATAAAAAAGAAGAACTCATGCTCACCTCATAAAACTATTGTGAGACCTAAACAATGTATTTATTGAGGTCTGTCTTAGTTATCTTTGGAGCTCTGGTGGTGCTGTGGTTAAAGCATTGGGCAGCTAATCAAAATGTTGGTGGTTCAAACCCACCAGCCACTCCACAGGACAAGGCAGTCTGCTTATGTAATGATTTACAGCCTGGGAAACACTATGGGGGTCACTATAAGGTGGTATTGATTCAATGGCAGTAGGTTTGGTTTTTGGGTTTTGGTCTTAGTTATCTAATGCTGCTATATAACAGAAACTACACAAGTGAATGGCTTTAACAAACAGAAATTTATTCTCACATAGATAATCCCAAATTCAGGGTACCAACTCTAGGGGAAGGCTTTCTCTATCAGCTCTAGGGGAAGGTCCTTGTCCTCTTTCAACATCTGCAGGCCTGGTATCTCTTGGCGATTTCCGTGTGTTTTAGCATCAATCTTCCCCTGAGTCTAGAAGGTTCTCAGCACAGGGACTCCAGTCCAAAGGATGCACTCTGCTCCTGTTTCTTCTTTGTTAGTGGTAGTCAGGTCCCTCACTGCTTACTTCTCTCTCCTTTGATCTCTTGTAAGATAAAAGATGATGTAAGCCACAACCCTGGGAAACTCCCTGTATTTCAGGTCAGGGCTGTGACCTGAGTAAGGATGATGACTTAAGGAAGGGTGATGCATCCCACCCTAATCCTGCCTCATTAACATCACAAACATAACCTAATCCTCTTTAACATAACCTAACCCTACCTCATTACCCAGAGGCAGAGGTTAGAGTTTATAACACATCACAAAGTGAAGGATATTCACATCAAATCACAAATGAAGGGCAATCACACAATATTGGGAATCATGGCCTAGTCAAATTGACACATATCTTGGGGGGAGGGGTGGCACAATTCAATCCATGGCAGCATCATATTCAGGTACAGGTTTGTGCTTAGTCTGAACAACACATTATCAATGATGTTCTTAAATATCTAGGGTTGTAGGAACCCTGCAACTGACTTAGGGTATGAAATTCTTAGTACTAGTAGGGGTCACCTGACATTCCTTTCTGTTCTATTGTTCTCCATAGGAGAGATGGCACAAACCAAGACACAGATTCAGGCCCTGCTGCTGCTCCTGCTGCTGGGGCTGTGGGTGGCTGAGGTCCCAGTCAGTGCCAAGCCCAAGCACATGACCTCAGCTCAATGGTTTGAAACTCAGCATGTGCAGCCCAGCCCTGAAAGATGCAACACCGCGATGGAAAGCATCAATAAGTATACAAAACACTGCAAATATTTCAATACCTTCCTGCATGACTCCTTCTCCAATGTGGCCACCACCTGCCAGACCCCCACCATAACCTGCAAGAATGGCCGTGAAATCTGCCACCAGAGCCAAGAGCCAGTGTTCCTGACCCAGTGTGAGCATGTCTCGGGGAGGTACCCAGACTGCAAGTACAAGGAGAAGAACCTGGATGCATTCTTCATTGTAGCCAGTGACCCCCCACAACAGAAGGATTACCTGGAGAATGAGCTGGTTCCTGTGCACTTGGACAATGTTATCTAAAGCCAGGTGCTCCACCCACAAAGTTCTGCACACTCCAGGCCCTGCTGCTGCATTTCCTCCCTTGAGTTCTTTACTAATCCTTACGCCCTCTTCAAATATCATTTCCTTCCCTCACATCCAGCTTCACATACTCTTAATTCCTTAGGGGCTTGTATGGATGTGCCAAATGATAGTAGAAGAGGGGTTATTCTCTTTAGTCCTTCACTGCTGCTTACTTTGTCTTCTGAGTGTCTAGTATTTCATGGCCCTTCAAAAGTCAAGCACTCGGGATCTCTGCAAGGGTAGGTGGGTCCAAGTTTTGTGGGATCTAAGTTTTATAGGGAGTCCCTGGGTGGCATAAAAGGTTAAGTTGTTGGCTATAAACTGCAAGGTCAATGGTTCAAATCTACCTCAGAAGAAAGTCCTGCTGATCTACTTCCAAAAGCTCACAGCCATTGAAAACCCTGTGCAGTTCGGTTCTACTCTGATGCACACAGGGTTGCCATGATTCAGAGTCAATTCAATGGCAACTGGTTTGATTTGGTTTATGGTTTATAGGATTTTGAAAACTCTCTTAACAAAAATTACAAATAGAAAAATAAGGTAAGGTTCTTGGAAGGGTCTATGGTTTGACAATTCAGAGGGACTTCAGGCAGGGGAGATTATCTAAGAAGGGAGGGAACTTGAGCTGGATTCCCTGTGCTGGACAAGGGCCGGTGTCTGATTTTACTGCAATAAAACATGCTGCTATGCCTGATGGAGTGTTTATTACTGTCCTGGAGGAAACGATGAAGGTTTGAAGCCAGAGGGGCAATCTACTTCAGTAGTGATACTGTCTCGGAAACCCAAGGAGGGGTCACTATGAGTCAGGTCCGATTTGACAGCACATAACAATAACAACAACAACAACAACAACATCTTCTTCTAAAGTATCCTTGGTGGCACAAGGGTTAAAGCGCTCAGCTTCTAACCAAAAGGTCATGATTTGAACCCACCAACTGTTTCACGGAAGAGAAGACCTGATGATCTGCTCCCATAAATATTACAGCTTAGGAAGCCCTATGGGGCAGTTCTACTCTATCCATAGGGTCACTATGAGTTGGAATCAACTTGATGACAAACAATAACAAGAAGCTCCTCCTATGTGTCCCGGGAAGGTTCTACTTCCTCTGCACTTTAATTGATGGTGTTTCTCAGAGCTCTATTCTCGGTTATTTTTTTCTTCTCACACTACACTCTCCTTCAGTGACTTGATACACATCCATGGTTTCAACTGCCACTAACTTTTCCCCACAGCATATCTCCAGCCCAGATCTCCCAAGGTCCAGTAATATATATCCCTCTATCTACTGTTACTAGCCTTCTCCCACAGGCTTCTCAACCTAAACATGATCAGAACTGAGCTCGTGATTTCCCTGGCTTTCAAACTCGTCCCTTTTCTTGAAGTCTCTTGCAGTCTTGGTTAATGGAAACATCCTATCCAATTATTCAAGGTCCTAATCTAGGAGACACTTGTATCAATTCATCTGTTTTTGTTTTGTTTTGTTTCTCCAGTAATTCCATATCTGTCTCAAAACTGCCCCTAGAGGTCATATCCTTTTATTTTCTTTCTTCCAATTTCAATGGGTTCCAAACATGTGCCCAACACATGTTAGGGCCTTGGAAGGGACTATGGTTTGGAGTTAGGTTTGCTGTTGTTGTTGTTACATGCCTTCGAGTCAGATCCGACTCATAGCGATCCCTCCTTGGGTTTCTGAGGCAGTATCACTACGGAAGTAGATTGCCCCATCTTCCTTCCGAGGACTGGCTGGTGGGTTTGAACCGCCAGCCTTCTGGTTAGCAGTCAAGTGCCTTAGGCACTATGCTACCAGAGCTCCTACCTAATTTGTTGCAATCAAAAATTCACTAACTAGGAGTCAAGACTAAATAACACACATGAAATTCTCTAAAACAATAAAACAGAAAAGAATAATGAGTCATATGGATTCTGTATCACTTTTTCTCCTTTCTTTCCCAGGGTTTCATTAATCCTGACCTAAAGTTCCTTCTCTGCTTAAAATTAATCTCCTGCTGCAAGTCTCTGGCCTGACGTTTGATCTGTAAACTGGAGTCCGACAAAACTAGGAGAATTTCAGCCATTCAATATGTGTAAGGGTTGTGGCTCCAGACACTGGGAAGAGTGTGGAAAGAATTCAGAATAGAATGAAGCTTTAAATAGATTAGTTTTTTCCAGAGAAATGGTGTAGCAACCTGGGTAGGAGTTTCTGACTTCCGTGTGTAGGTTGAAGAATTAGATGGAGTGTAACTTGAATCTAAAGGCCATGAGCTATGACACTGGCCCATTTGGAGACTAATGGCACAGTGTCCATAAAACAGGGCTTAGTGGGGCATTTGGGGCCTGGGGAAGAGCTGCCTTGGAAGCCTTAAGATGAAATCTCTGCTGGTTATGCTCTCTGGGCCTTTGAGAACATGTTCCTCAAAAAAAAAAAAACACTTCAGAAGAAGCTTCCCAACAGTTTGGGGTGGCGTAATTAATTCCTCTGGTAGCGTAATGCCTAAGGTGCTTGACTGCTAACCAGAAGGCTGGCAGTTCAAACCCACCAGCCACTCCTGGGAAGGAAGGTTGGGCAATCTACTTCCGTAGTGATACTGCCTCGGAAACCCAAGGAGTGGTCGCTATGAGTGGGGTCCAACTTGACGGCACATATCAACAACAACAATTAATTCCTAGTAGGTAAGTATGTTTTAAGAAGCCCTGGTGATGCAGGGGTTAGAGTGGTTGGTGGTTAACCAAAAGGTCAGCAGCTGTAATGTGCCAGATGCTCAGAGGGAGAAAGATGTGGCAGTCCACATATAGATTTACAGCCTTGGAAACCATTTGGGGAGGTTCTACTCTGTCCTATGAGGTCACTATGAGTCAGAATTGACTCAACAGCAACACATTTGGTTTTATGTTTGAAGAATATTTTACTATTCAAAAAATTTAGAACAAAGGATAGAAATATTTAAGAGAATCAAACGTATAGCATTAATATGTTTGCATTAGAAAATCTGTGCATATTTGAAGTTTTAAGTATTTGCAGTGTTTAAGATAATTTGGTCTGTTACAGTAACAGATTAGACTTGCAATTCTAATTTTAAATGTATAATTGGTTTAGATGTGATTTGAAATAGAATTTTCTATTAAAATTAGTTTTGGAACATTTAAGAGAACTAGGTATTGAATCACCATATTTGTGAGTTGTCAAATTTGTAAGTTTTGTAGTTACTCAGGGATGTCTTGTTTGTTAACTCAGAAGACCAAATTACTTTTCAAAGACATGGGATATTGTACGGTTATAAAATGTTTAAAGGAGTTTTATTAATTACATTTGTAAATGTGACCAAATATTTCTCAAGCACCTCTTTGAAAGTGATTATTAAAATTTACTCATTTATAAGTTAAGCATAAAAGCTTAAGGAAGAACTGGGCTTTAATATACCCAAAAAAAAAAAAAATTAAAGTCAAAGTAGCCTACAGAATATTCTTTTATGGACACAAAATCGCTCTAATGGACATTTTAAAACCTCACGTTGATACTGCAAGACCATTTCATTTTCTGTGCGCTTTTAGCTTTGGTGATTGTGTTTTCTGCTGTTCTCATGTCTGTTGGTTTTACTGGGCCTTCTGGAAGGGAGGGAGGCCACTGAAAATTCAGTAGCCAAGGCACAGGCTGGCAGTGGAGGCCTTGGGATTGAATCCAGGCCTCATTTCTCCTCAGCGTGCCCAACTCCTTCTGCACTGCACTGCCTCTGAATGGATCATTCTAGTGATTTGAGAATGATCTCCCATTCCATTCTGGAAGAATTGAGAAAGGGGAACAGGGCCACTTTGTGCCCAGAGAGGTGGTGGCAGAGGAAATCAGCAAAGAACACCCCAAGAAAGAATAAAACTTAGGGTCTACAATTGATTCTCCATCCTCAGTAGGGATCTTTCCTCCTTAACTAAACCTAAAGGTTTGAGATTACACTTCACTAAGAGGAAGGTGGCTTAAGGGAAAAAAAAAACAAACAAAAAAGACAGATTGTTAAGCAATCTGTTCCTTCGATAAATCGGGCTGCTTGCCTAGAAGCACGTGTGTGTGTGTGTGTGTGTGTGTGTGTTGTGTGTTTTGTAAACACACATGTGCTCATGGTAAGGAGGTGAAATTATGTTAGTGGGATTAGGAGTGCTATATTCTACCACTTACAGATTCTTTAGGATCTCAAACCTCCCCGTTGAGGTGCAAATATATCTCTTGGAAAGATTAAAGTAAGACAATATAGCAATTACTTGGAATCAATCACTTAGGTACCAGGTTTGACTTGACAGCAATTAGAGCCACAGCACAGTATACAGGGAGAACACTTTGTACTAAGGGTCTTGCAAATAGCTGAAGATTTACTTACCAATCCTCTAGACAGGGTAAGGTGGAAGATGGACAAAGATCTGGAAGTAGACAATGAACAGAAAAGGAGATGTCAGGGGACAGGAAATCAACATTTACCCACCCACCAGGCAGTTCTGGGATCCATGGATGGCTTTCATGCCATTGTAATCACAGGTTGCCTGACCAAGAAGATTGCTTGGGGCAGGAGTTGTCTACCAATGAGGACTAGAGTCTGCTGCTAACTATACCTAACACATGTTGGCTCTTAATAAGTGTTTGCTGAGCAAGATTTGTTTTTGGAGCAAATGAATGGGGCTAGGAAAATACACAGATCCCTCCCCCCCCCCCAAAAGATGAAATAAAACTCTCTCATTGTGCTTTAAAATATTCAAATAACACACACACACACACACAATCTGTTGCTATCGATTCCAACTCATGGTGACCCTATGTGCGTCAGAGTGAAACTGCACTCCGCGGTGTTTTCAAGGCTGTGGCCTTTGGGAAGCACATCCCCAGGTCCTTCTTCCCAGGTGCCTCTGGGTGGATTCAAAACTCCAACATTTCGGTGAGTAGTCAAGCACCACCCAGGAACTACTTGAAGGGAAATTT